CAGCTGGATAAGTCCAATCAATTCATTGCTCCAGGAGAAAACCATCTATCCCGTGCACTTTAAGATATACCATCAATCCCCTGTACCTTGAGATGTCCCAAAATCTCCTGCACCTGAAGAAATCCCATCATTCCACTGCAATTTGATATATCCAATCAATCCCTTGCACCATGGGATGTCCTATCAATCCCTTGCACCTGGAGATGTCCCATCAATCCCTTGCATCTAGAGATGTCCCATCAATCCTTTGCACCTGGAGATGTCCTATCAATCCCTTGCACCTCGAGAGGTCCCATCAATCCCCTTCACTTGGAGATGTCTCATCAATCCCCTCCACCTGGAGATGTCTCATCAATCCCCTCCACCTGGAGATGTCCCATCAATCCCCTGCACCTGGAGATGTCCCATCAATCCCATTCACCTGGAGATGTCCTATTAATCCCTTGCATCTGGAGATGTCCCATCAATCCCTTGCACCTCGAGAGGTCCCATCAATCCCCTTCACTTGGAGATGTCTCATCAATCCCCTCCACCTGGAGATGTCCCATCAATCCCCTGCACCTGGAGATGTCCGATCAATCCCATTCCCCTGGAGATGTCCTATTAATCCCTTGCACCTGGAGATGACCCCTAAATCCCCGGCACAAGAAGATGTCCCATCAATCCTCTGCATCTTAAGATGACCCATAAATTCCTTGCATCTCTAGATGTACCATATATCGTCTGAACCAGGAAATCTCTTACCAATTCCCTGCACCTGTAGATGTCCAATTAATCTACTGCACTTTTAGATATTCCACCGATCCCCTGCACCTACTGCACAAGAACATTTCATGGTAGAGTAAGACACATCGGCCTTATACGCACCTATATTTACATTTGCCATCTGCGCACCCACAGACACACTGACCATCTGCTCAACTACAGACACACTGACCATCTGCTCAACTACAGACACACTGACCATCTGCTCAACTACAGACATATCGGCAACCTGCCCTACGGCAGACACACATCAGAAGGAGCACGAATCCATGATTACAATCGTCTTTGTCGGTTTCGTCGGACGAACTAACCTAAAAACATTGATAAATAACGTGATATAACACAATATACATATCAGAACATAACAAACATGTATGTATTTATTATATCAAACTAAGTAAATCACACGATTTTTTTAAAAAGTGAAAGCTTTTGCAACTATTAAAAAGCCACTAAAAATAGAAATGGAGTATTTTGGTATTGAAACTATACAAACCAACTGGAGTAGAAGCTGTAAATGACAAAACAATGGCTCAGTAAGAAACAGATTAACTTTTATAAAAACAATAGCTTTTAAACACAATGCAGTTAGGGATAGTATATAGCAAAGTCCCCAGATGGTGGTCCGCGGACTGGCAGTGGTCAAAGAGCTTTACGCTGCTGGTCAGCAGAACATAAATATTTATTGTCAATAGTAAAAAATATATTGCACTATTAATAAATTGTTCACCGGTCATGGTACAACCTTGAATCCTTTCTACCGGTCATGGTACAACTCTGAATCCTGTCTACCGGTCATGGTACTACTCTGAATCCTTAAATACTTTCTACCGGGCATGTTGGGATTTCAAATATTGTCCACCGGTGCTTCGAAATTTTGGAAAGTCTTGTCTATGCAGACTATCTTTGTCAGGTAAACCCAGCACGCCATGACTGTGCAGACTATCTTTGCCAGGTAAACCCAGCACGCCATGACTGTGCAGACTATCTTTGCCAGGTAAACCCAGCACGCCATGACTGTGCAGACTATCTTTGCCAGGTAAACTCAGCACGCCATGACTGTGCAGACTATCTTTGCCAGGTAAACTCAGCACGCCATGACTGTGCAGACTATCTTTGCCAGGTAAACTCAGCACGCCATGACTGT